AGCGCCAGCCTATAACGAAGAGAATCTTGGGAAAGCAGTTTCTGCGTTCGGTATGAGCTTGAGCCATATACAAGTGAAGATTGAACCTTCATGCAGCTTGTGTCCTTGCTGAGCGCTTCAGTTTCACAGTCACGTGAACAGGTTTGCGATGGATTTTTCATAGGATGTGTCAATGAGTCGACGGCTGGATGAAATCCAGAAAGGCACTGGCATTGGCCCTGGAAGGATTCTTCAGTGGACTGTCTTGAAGATCAGAAGCAAAACATCCCCACTCAACTGTTTCCATGTCCAAGATGGTCAATGGGAACAATATCGCGTGAGTTCAAGCCGCATAGCTATCGCAATAGCAATTTAATGCGTGTGTTCTTCTCCCGTACACCCCATGACACACTAGTGTGCAAATCTTTGCATGGTATCTAACTGCTAGCTAACATAAGCGGATGAAATTTGGCGCTGGAAAGCGCAATGGCGCAATTGGAAAAGACCCTTTCTCCAAATACCCTGTCTGAAGCGGTCGATGGGTGAGGCTACTCCAACTCATGGTAGACATTCAAAAGAGAGGAGCTGGTTCTTGATGGGGTGTATGAACACTACGGACTGCAAGCATGCTCTGCTACGTGCTCCCATACTGGCCACAAGGTTGGTTAAGAGTTCTTGTGGAGAAGCGATCCATTCCTTGAAGACTGCGAGGACAGTTGTTGGCGCATGGGGTGCGCTACAATAGCTCTCCTGAATCACGCCACACGTGCTCCATAGAATTTGACTGGAGGAAACGGTCAGGCTTCACCAATCGCCGAAAATCCTCGCTTTCCAAGAGTTTTCCACCCAGGCTGCTCGATGCTCTCGCACATTGTCCTCCATACGATTGAAGTTGAGGTCAACCCCCCAAAAAGATGCACATAAGTGAGGAGTACAGCATCACAATCACGTTGATCAGAAAGTGTTCCGCGATCACGTTCAGTACGCCCCGACAACTTTATGCCTCCCCACATCATGTCGCATGGACTACCAAAACAATCATGTTAAACGATGGTCCTGGGTAGATTACACGTTCCTATTTTCCCCATATGCAGGTAAGTTCCAGAATCACTACACACATTCAGTTTGCTCTTGATTGAAAGAAGTCACCGCCCCCGTCTCCCCCAAAATGTGATCCCCATCTAGCCAATCTAGCACACATTAGTAACACTCTGTCCGCCCAAGCTCCCGCGCCGACGTCTCTCCAAGAAATCATCACCTATGTTGTCAGGGTTAGAGGAACACCCTCCTCGCGGTATGCACTGTCGGGCTGGATCAAGTGGCCTCTACACATCCTGCGAATTTTTGCACCTGCAGACTAAGGTGTCCATTTTGCCTTGTTGAACACAATCGCTCGCCCTGCATTCGCCGGTTGTTTCATCGATCGCATCTCCTCCTCACGGTCAGCAGAATTGCATCTGTCTCGTGCTCTCACGCGCCCACATATGGTGAGCAACGTCAAACTGCTCTGAACACTTTCGTAAACATCTTCTTCTTCCAGTTTCCCTTATTCTTTCTCGGTGAGTCATCCCATTTTTTGCTCTGCGTCTTTCTGTCTTTAAGAAACGCCACCTACATTCCACGTACCTTCTCCTTATCAAGTAATATTCTCCTGCCACTATTACAGCGCAAACTTCCTCCGTTCTGCCGCGCCTAACTCTCGCTTCAGATTGATCCGGCCAGAATACCCCACTATAAGCCCCAAGCTAACTCCATCAACTGTTAGATTTAGTCCATTATGCTCCAACATGATCTATCCCATCTTCCCATTGCACTCTATCTAGGTAATCTCGATATTTACTCCATGTTTTCCTAAATTTTGCAAATATCTGAGCGCCATCACCATGAAATCTTCAAAACCTATTTAATGAAGACGTGCCAGAAGCTTGGGATTCCGGCAAAATTGTACCCCGATCTCGCACCAGTGCTCACGGAACAACGGTTTTTCTACCAGCTCTCGGCTATTTCTGAAGGGTAGGCAGGCAAGACAGTGAAGAAAGTGTATTGTATTGAAAGTAAAAAAAAGCTGTATAAAACGTAAAAGTTAATGTTTAAGCAATTATATGAGGTATTCTTCTACCTCTACACTAGCCAGCACATTGTTGGAGTTTTGAGGATGGGGACGGAGTTGCAAGTGTTTCACCCAGTGGCAGATTCACTATCGGCAACATCGACATTAGGAAGGAGGGGGAGAAATAGGAAGGGAGAGTGGTAATGCTCATGGGAAGGAGTTATTACTGGCCGAACTTACCCTAAACGCATGGTCACCCTGGTAGAGAGAGAGCGAGAAGAGAAAGAAAGCAACCCAACAAAACAAACACAATGCGAGGTGCAGGAGACGGGAATTAGGGGCGCATAACTGAAATTCTTTGAGCTTACCTTAATACATTCCATACCTTCTCCTCCTCCACATTGTGCATTGGTTGTACAAGCGGAATTGAGTTGTCCACGTGGAATGCACTTCAAGAATATGTTTAGGGAATACAATAACCTTACGGCTATGAGATGAAAAAGAATTTTCACCTGATTGTTGGCGTAAAGAGCGTTAGGAGCTAGCGCATTGCACGGTCGACGACAGCACACAGCTTGCGATACAAGGCCGTCTGGAAAGTGGCGACAATTTCACTAGTTTTAATACAACGCTTTCTGATGGACCAACTTTTTAGGATGAGGAAGACTTTTGATAAGAAATAATGCCTGGGAAGTCTGGTCGCACTTCTGTTACGCTACCTCCACACTTCTGTTACGCTGAATCTGTGGAAGTTTAAGACCATATACAACATTCAGAATCCGGCAATTTAGGACCTATTTTAGAATATCTCAGAACTGCAGTTCAATAAAATATTTCAATATCGGATCAACTACGAAGAATGGAACTGTGGTATAAGTCGCTCGGCGTAAGTAGCTCCCTTTTGAGATGTCCCGTGGATTCCACTTTCATTCGAAAACTGAGGAGGTTTCGTAAGGCGCATGTTGAGAGGATGAACCAAATTTCGAGTAAGCTTCTGATTCCACTATACGGGGCTGCTATAATCGAACTGACTGAAGAAGAGAGGGCTTGCGTGGCCTGGGCGGAAGGTGATCTCGGGCAGTGCGTGCGGCAGCAGCGCTAATTGTCACTAACACATTCGCGCACTTGTGCCGATGGGCTAACTTTTATTAAAGCTCGACGTGTTGCATCGGAAGGTACTTCGAAATTTTGCGATTATGCTT